CCTCCCCCTCCTCAAGAAAGTTGAAGTCACCTCCCAGTATCCAAGTGGCCTCAGAATAGATAGGACGCGAGGTACCCAGAATACGAATAGCCTCCTTAAAGTTAGACTGTGACAGGCAGGGGTCGAGATGGACAGAGGTGAGTACTAGCGTGCCAGACTGCCCAGCACACCGAACAGTAAGTACGCGACCAGGGATCGGGGCAGATGCAGAGAATGTAGAGAAGTGCTGAGCAAGCCGTTCATGGATAAAAATGAGCACACCACCAGCAGCCTCAGAGTCCAGGAACGAGCCGAAGATTTTAAAGGACGGAAATCGCTTTCGAAGTTCCCAAAGATCACCCTCAGAACCGTGGCACTCTTGAATCAGTATAATCTCATGACGGCGAAGTAGATACTTCAAAGACGATAGCTTACGACACTGAGTAGCATGAGAGGCCCATATGCTTCCACATAGCGTATGGGAGTTCCAGGTACACGCCGAATACGGACAAGTAGACGCCTGGAACGGAACCTCAGGATAGCCACTGGATGATGACGACGACGAAGACGAGGAAGAGGAGGGAGGGGAGGGGGGAGAGCCCTGTACAACTCCTGGGCCTGGGCCTCTGGTGGTGTTCGAAGCACTAGCATTCAACGATTCAATGCGTGAATTCTTACGAACGGAAAAACTGGAAGGCTCGGCCCTACTCGTAGGGCACTGTTCTTGCACCCGCGGGCCAGCTGAGAGGTGCAGAGGAGTCGCACCTCTCCCCTCAGGCCGGCAGCCAGGCCCCAGCCTGACCTCACAAGATGAGCCATGTTCCCGTAGACGAACTTCCTAGTGCTTGGACTTTCTGATGCGCTCAAGCATGTGGTGTACAGCATCCGGGTCCACATTCCAGTGCTTGAAGTTGTCGATCACCGGGTCGTATGAGTAGCCCGACTGCGGACATCCACGGATCCAAAAGAGTTCATAAACTTCCTCTGCTGAACTGAAGTGAACCAATCCTTGGAATCCATTTGTTCCAAGTCGATATCCAGCCATATCATGACCTCCACCTCGTAGCAGTTCAAGAGTACCTTGCCAAACCAGCGATGCGGCCCGCTGACGAGCCCGTACGTCCATTGGCAGATCTCCACGTGCCCGAATCTCATGTAGCTGCTGGGATCGAGGGTCACGCCAGGAGATGTCCATTCCACTGATGATGGTGCTGAAGTTCTCCGCCATGGCCTCGTCACTGAAGTCGACCGAGTAACTCTTGCCGACCCGCGAGATCGTGATCTTCGCGTCGTCTTTGAGCTCCTGCGTCAGCCTGGGGAAGACCACCGAGTCCCAGTGCTGCTGTCTTTGAGCACAGGTGAGCGAACGTGGGAAGGTACCTATCCACCTCCGTGTCTTCACAATTCTCGACTGCGGACCAGAAGCGGAAGAGAGTGGGGCACTGGAAGAGGCGCTGCCAGTAGTCGATCTCGGCGATGGCCGTGAGTTTTTCAGCTCCGTAATGGCAGAGTCTAAGTTAGCGATCTGCTCCTTCACTTTCTCATCGACGGCAGCTGCCATGGCCCGATCGAGTGAGCCCTGGGCCTGCTGCTCAAGCTTCAAGGTGCGGTTCGCCAGCACGTCGATTGCGTGTCCATGCGCCTCCAGCTTATTGTTCACCTCGGTGAGTTCATGCTTCAGCGTGCCATCCAGCTCTGAGATTCTGAAATTGGTGGTCTCGATGCCCTTAACCAAATCTGCAAGCCATGTAGGAGCAGCAGTGGGGGCTTCATCCTCGGAGTCGGCATGGCGGCGGCTGTGGCGACCACGAGCCCGATCGTCCGAACGTGACCGACTATGTTTCTTTTCCTTCTTCTCCTTCTTGTGTCGCCTCTGCTCACGACTGTCATCCGAGCTGCCTCGAGCGTCAGACTTGGCCATCGCAGCAGGGGGGGGGGGAGTGACTGGAGTGATACGCGTAATAGTGGGAACAGTAAGCAGAATGCAAAGGGAGAATGGAAGAACAAAGAAGCACGAGGACTGCTCGGGCGAGCGTCTGTGTCCTCGTGCGCGCGCGCGGCGGGCGCTGGCCACTTGAGTCGGGGGGGTGAGTTCCCGAAATGGCCTTGAGCCAAAATGGCTACGGAATTTGGAGGAGGAGGAGGAGGAGGAGGAGGAGGAGGACGGCACCCGGGAGCCGAGATCGAAGAAGGAACCTAGCGCGGCCCTAACCCCAGGGAACCCCGCCGCAGGGAAACAGGGCCGAGGACCCCCCCCCGGGGGAACCCCGCCGCTTCAAAAAGCAGATGAGAACAGTCAGGCAAAACCTCGGGGGAAAACTCGCCGGCTGAAAAACTAACCGTCGGAGATCTTGAGCAGGGACGGACCGTCCCGGCATTCCTGTAGCCTACCACGAACGAAATTTGCTCAGAACCCAAAAATGCTCCAAGAACAGAACCAACGTTCTTAGAACATACACCCGATGTGTTCAAACCAGACAGTCTCGGCCAAAACTATTCTAAGAACATCCCGTGCAAACCACCGAAGGTTCTTAGAACATTGTTTGGTTGGCCTATAGGCAAGCCAGGACGCCTCGCCACTGCTTGAAGATCTGGGCCGCCTCCAAACCACACTCGGAACGATCCGCGCCGGCAGCCCGCTCACCGCTCGCGGCGCGCCGCGCGGCCCGGCCACCGCGCCGATCGCAGCTAGATCGAGCCGCCCCCGGCACCAACGAGGGCCGGCCAGGCGACCGACTGGACGACAAAGGATTTCCTCCTCCTCCTCCTCCTCCTCCTCCTCCTCCTCCTCCTCCTCCTCCGCAGACCCCCTCGCGTCGACCTCCCTATCCCTATACATGACTCCTCACTGTCGCGCCCCCAGACGTTTCGGTGGGCACGACCGGGCGTTTCGCCCGAGACTCCCTCGCTACTTGTGATCATTTAGCTTGGAATGTGCAGCAGCTTCAAGGATGAAACACTGGTCGTTTCCAAAATGTAGCTCTCGCCTTGGCGCCGCGCACATTTCAAAGCTTGCAACAGCTTCAAGGATGAAGCCGATTCCTTTTCATAAGGTGGTTCTCGCCTTAGCGCCGCGCACATTTGTCTGGAAAAAGTAACAGCTAATTCAAAGAATCGCAGGGTTGAAGTCCCAGGAATGTTGTTTCGGCGCGATTTAGTACTGTCAGGACGCAACAGACTGCGTTCTGGCACGATCCCCGGCGTTGAAGTCCCAGGAATTGTGTTTTGGCAGGGTTGACGATTCTCATACGGTGGTCGTTCAGCGGGGCACTCCCCACACTGAAAAAATCCACCAAGCTTTCAGGGTGTGTGAGACGCTGTCGTCGTATTCGTCGTTGTCGTCGCCGTCGCCAACCACAAGAAGATTGAGGAACGAGCAAAGAAAAGAAACGTCGTAGTGAAGTCGACCCCTTCCCTTTTCCCTTCCCTGACGACGGGGGGGGGACAGGGGGGCAGAAGGAGGGTAGGGGGCGGGTAGGGGGGTAGTCGAGGCCCCCCCAAGACCGCAAGCCGTCTCGCTCACCCGCCCTCCCAACACATAAGTAGTGCCCGAGTCTCAGCACGTCGCCGAGGAGCGCCACGCATGCCATGTGCGCCACGGGTTCAGGTGCACCAGGCACCCTGGAGGCCCAAGCGTGCGAGGCGCGGCAAGTGCGGCGCGTGCTCCACACAAGTGCGCCACGTGCTCCTAGCCGCGCCAGGTGCGCCGCGTGCTCGGCGCGCGCAATGAGTGCGAGGTGCGCCATTGCACTGCCGCCACCGAATGGGATGGTTGGCCTGCGCACATCAAGCAATATGCGGCACCCCCGCCATCCCGATCAAAAACCAATGCAGAGTAGAGGGGGGGTAAGGTGGGGGGTTAGGTGGGGGGGGTACTGGGTCAGATTACCGTCCCCGGGGGTCCCAGCAGGTCCCTGGGGGTGGTCCCACCACTCGTGGACAGGGGGGACAGGGACGAGTTCCCCCGGTGGGGACGGCTGGCCCTGCCCGTGGCCACAGCCCCGGCCCCAGCCGTGGCGCCCCAGAATCGGACCCCGGAGTCCCAGGGGAGGTCCTGCCATCAGGGTCGGCGACACCGGCCGCAAGGCAAGGCCTTCACAAGAAATTATTGTAGGGATGTGTGAAGGGGGAGATTGGAGGAAGGGCTTCTTGCAACATCGTTGATGCGTCCTGGGTTTCCACTGGTCCTCCACCTCCTCCTCCTCCTCCTCCTCCTCCTCCTCCTCCACCTCCTCCTCCTCCACCTCCTCCTCCTCCTTCTCGACCTCCGCCGTCCCTTCTCCCCCTCCTCCTCCTCCCCCTCTCCTCCTCCTCCTCCTCCTCCTCCTCCTGCTCCTCCTCCTCCTCTCCTCCTCCTCCTCCTCCTTCCTCCTCCTCCTACTCTCCTCCTCCGCCTCCGCCTCCCCCTCCCCCGCCCTCCGCCCCCCCCCGTTCCCCCCGCCTCCTCCGCCTCACCCCTCCTCCCTCCCAACCCTCCTCCTCCTCCTCCTCTCCTCCTCCTCCTCCTCCTCCTCCTCCTCCTGCCTCCTACTCCTCCTCCTCTCCTCCTCCTCTCCTCCTCCTCCTCCTCCTTTCCCTCCGTCCCTCCCTCCTCCATCCCTCCCTCCCTCCTTCCTTCCCTTCCCCTTCCGTTCCTTTCCTTCCCTTCTTCCTTCCTTCCTTCCCTTCCCTTCCTCCCTTCCCTTCCTTCCCTTCCCTTCCCTTCCCTCCCTCCCTCCCTCCCTCCTCCCATCCCTCCCTCCCTCCCTCCTCCCTCCCTCCCTCCTCCCCTCCTCCGCTCCTCCCTCACTCCCCCTCACCTCCTCCCTCCTCCCGCCTCCCTCCTCCCTCCTCCTCCTCCTCCTCCTCCTCCTCCTACTCCTCTCCTCCTCCTCCTCCTCCTCCCTCCTCCTCCTCCTCCTCCTCCTCCAGCCGTTCTGGCGCAGGTGAGCGCTTGCGGATTCTCTCTTCAGAACGGCAAGGAATCCGCGGGTCAATTTTGGCTTCACAACTTTCTCGTCCATCTTTCTCCAGTCAGACTGATGTCCCATGGCCCCTGCAAGGGCGGCGGCGGCGGCGGGCAGGGCACCCCTCCCCCGTGGCGCGGCGGCGGCTCCCAGGGCTGGCAGCGGCAGGACTGGAGCTACTACGACTACGGAGGCGCCCAGTGGTCTGGCGGCAAGGGCTACGGCACGGCTGGCAGGAGCGACTGCTGGAAGTGCGTGGCATGCGGATGCGGCAAGACCACCGTCTGGGCGACTCACTGCAAGCACTGCGGTGCACCGAGGCAGGCCCCCACAGTCGGCCAACATGCTCCTCCTCGTGGTGTGTGGTCTCATCAGCAGGGTCTGCCTCGAGCGCCTGGATATCACCCCCCAGGAGAGTGGTCTGCCCTCCCGCCTGGACCTCAGCTTGGCGGCGCAGCGCAAGGCACAGGCAGCGGCAGCCGAGGGCAGGATGTTCCTTTGGACGCAAAGGAGCTCCAGATGCTGGTTGCACTGTCGCGCCGCGCAGGTGACCAAGCCACAGCTGCCAAGTACCAGGGCCAGCTGGACTCCATGGCTGCGGCCGCAAAGCCGCCGCCAAAGGCCCTGCAGGACCAGGTCAGCGACCTGCATCACCGCATCAAGAAGCTCGACGGCAGGCTCGAGGCCGAACTGGCGAAGCTGGCGAGATGGCAGGATGGCATCAGGGCTCAGGAGATACTCATCCATGATTTGTCGAAGCAGTCTGAGGCCATGGCCACAGAACATCGGCAACTGGTTGCACAACTACACAGTGCAGTGGTTCCTCCCTCGGCCGACACCGAGCCCACGCCTGGGCCCACCTTGTCACTTCGAGACCTCGTGGACGGGCGAGTCTCCAACATCGTCATCGACGACGGGGGCCTCTTCTCAGTCGATGCTGACGGCATTGAGGACTCAGATCTACAAGAGGTGGAACGGCGTCGGGCTGATTTCAAGGAGCATATCGGCAAGGCAGCCAAGGCCCTCTTCGCCGAAGCGATGGAGCGCGCGGCAGTCGCCAAAGCCGAGCACGACGGGCACCTCAAGCGCATGGCCACCAAGCGCAGGAAGGGCTGCGATGGAGCCGTGTCGGCTGGAGGCGGAATTCGTGGAGGGGGCGCTGAAGCAGCTGAGTCACCTGCTGGAGGCGCCTGTGGCAGCGGCGACGCGACGACCAGCGACGTCAGCCAGCCCGCCGCCCAAGTCAGCCGAGTTCGCGAACAGGTGGCACGCGTTGCTGAGCGAGTTCAGCAGCAGCAGGCGGCGCCTGAGAGCAGCGGCACGGGTGAGCGGCACAGTGAGCAGCACAACCAGAGCCCCCCTGACGGTCAGCAGCAGGCCTGAAAGGGGGGAGAGTCAACTTTTCTATGCTTGCAACACCTTACAGGTGTTACAGTCCGGGTTTTTTCGGAGGGAGGTCGACGGCATGCGCAGGCTGTCAGGACCCCTCCTCCCCGTGCCCAACTTCTTCCTGTTTCGCCTCGAAATATTTGTCACAACGCGCCAGCTAGGGGGTGTATCCCTTCGGAGCCAGGGCACTCGTGCGCTTCTCTTGGAAGCCCCTTTTTGCCACCGCCAACTCCAGGCTACCAGTCGTTCCGTCTCAGGGTCGTGTCGATCAATGGTAATGCCTGGGGGTCGGTGAAGGAGTGGCTCCCCAGCGTAGATGCTGAAGTCCTTCTAGTCCAAGAGCACAAGCTTTTGACTCAAGAGGCTTTGGATAGAGCTTCCTCTGTGAGTCTCGGCCTCGGTTGCAAATCGCTTTGGATCCCTGGCACGACTGGGCCTGAAGGCGGCCCTTCTGCTGGAGTGTCTATCCTGTGTCGCGCGAATCTTGGGCTTCATCAGGCGCCCTCGGGGCTCGAGCTGGCTCCTCATAGGGCCATCACGGCCTTGGTTCACGCGCCCCAAGGGGATGTGTTTCAAGTTTGTTCAGTGCATATGCGCGACTCGGAAGGGCTCTCGGAAGCTAACCTCGAGATACTGTCGGCGATAGGGGCGGAAGGGTCCACCCGCGGGAAACCATTCCTAGTCGGGGGGGATTGGGACATGGAGCCCTCCGAACTCGCCAAGTCCCACTTCGTGAGCACCCTGGTTGGTCAATTCACCGACCCCAACAAGCCTACTTGCCACGCTGGCGCGGGCAAAGTTTACGACTACTTCGTTGCATCTGCTGGGCTTTCCAAGGGCGCCGCCGAAGTTCGCATACTCGAGGACGCTGGCTTCTTTCCCCACAGCCCAGTCTGCCTCGACTTCCATGCAGGACTGGCCCAGATGCACTACCTCGCATTCAGACGCCCGCCTCCTCTTCCATCGGAAGTGCCGCACGGCCCCCACCCTGAGCCGATGGACTTCAAGCGCGTGCATGCCCAGCTGGACGCGGCGTTCATTCGTGCGAAGCGAGGGGACGATGGGGTCATGACTGCTCGCCTATTTCGTGAAGCATACGCATCTTGGGCGGGCCTTGCTGAACGGGAACTCTCAAGGACTTTCGGGGTTCAACTTCCAGTTTTGGGGTCTAGGGGCAAGGGGCCCAAGACTCATGGGAGGCCGATCCTTAGTAAAGATCACGGTTGCGTTCGGTACCCTCAGCTCCACGCCTGCCGCTTGCTCGCTTCGAAGTTCAAACGCCTTCTCTCCTGTGTGCAGCGGGGGGTTGGCCTCAGGCTCGGGACGTGGGGCGCTTGTTGTCGTCTCCTCCCCCAAGTTTGTGTATGCCCGACAACCTGTTCCCTGGGATGGAAGTGGTTTCTAAAAGCGTTTCCACGGTGATCTCGGACCTCAAGGTTTTGGAAGACCCTCTGGAAGGGTCGGGCTCTGATCCTAGCTTCTTGGAGGCTCAGGAGGTTTTGTTCGCCCAAGTCGAAGAGGTCTCAATTCAGGTTACCGGCTATGTCTCTCAGTGTAGCGCTTTCTACGCAGCCAAGGCCAGACGAGATTGGGCTGACTGGCTCACTGAGAATGTCGATCAGGGTGGCCGCAGAGCGCACGGCTACACGAAAGACCCTCACGGATGGTCGCCCTCTACTACGCTCAGCGCAGGAGGCTGTGTGGTGTCAGACCCGCAGGCGCCCCTTGCCGCCGAAGCTGATCGCTTTCGCTCTTTGTGGAAGGGCTGCCTCTACCCCAGAAAAGGCCAGGGAAAGTGCATACCCCCCTCCCTTCTATTTCGGTGGACACCATTCGTAAGGTTTCTCGCACTTTTGCCCACAAGTCTGCCACAGGCTTGGATGGGTTTCACATGAGACACTTGTCGGTGCTGTCCGACGGGGCTTTGTTGGCCCTCTCGCGTTTTTTCACGCTTATGGAACTCACGGGCACCCTTCCCCCGCAGCTGGAGGCCGTGATTATCGCCATGCTGCCGAAGCCCTCCACTGGCTTCCGCCCCATCGGGGCCCCCCCCAGCCTGCGCAGATCATGGGGGAAATGCAAGAGAGACTACGCGGTTGAGTGGGAAGGGAAACACCAGAGAGAGAGTACTGGGCGGCGGGAAAATTCAAGTCTGCTTGCGATGTTGTTTGGCGGCAGGCCGCCCGTTCGGAGCCCTCCCGAGCCTGCGGGCAGCAGGCCTGCACTCTCCTCTGGGACTTTATCAAGCATTACGAGCGCATTCCTCTCGAACTCCTGGCACTTCGATGCAGGCAACATGGCTTCCCTGATGCGCTCACCGATGTGCGCATGGCGGGATACCGTTCTGCCCGCTCCCTGGTGCTAGCTGGAGTGGTAGCGCCTCCTACCTACGCTAGAGTTGGAATCATAGCGGGGTGTAGTTTCGCCACCACTATGATCAGAATCGTTGCCCTGCGTGGCCTCGATCAACTGGAGGTCCCCAAGGGGATCACGTTCGATGCTTACATTGACGACCTCGGGGTTAATGCGATCGGGACTGTTCGGCGCATCATGAAAGAACTCCCGGGAGCGGCCAAGTCCCTCGAGGAGATCATTGAGAATGTCCTTTTTGCGCAAGTCTCCCCTGACAAAGTCGGGTTGGTCGCGTCGTCTAAGGAAATCGCTAGGCATGTCCAGAAACGACTGGGGGGGCTTGGAGGAGATTTCACTGAGTCTT